TGTAATAATAATTTAATCTCCATTCACAAATAACTTAGCAATTGCTATTATTGTCATTTATATCATTATATAGTAATTTTTAAAATAATATAAAATATAAATAGATCAATTTAAGTTTATTTATTTTTTTGTATTTCAATTTAAATATTTGTTTCAACTTATTTTATGTCACATGAAAGATAATATCGAATTGTTACGTTATTATTTGAAGAGAGAAAAAAATTAGACCCATCAGTTAGATATTAATTTTCTTCTAAATTAAATTCGATCTATATAAATATGAATTTTTTAACGCTTGGGTCATTTATTCTTTTGGCAATTCTTTATTCTTCCCGATGCATTAATCCAGATGATGCTATAGGTATATTTCCTTTTTTAATTTATTTTTACACTCTATTAGCTAGGCATAATAGCTCTGTTTAAGCCGATTTTATGAAAAACTGCTAATCCAAAATAATTTAGCCAGAAAAAAATATTGCCTCTAGAAATTTCGTTACCAGATGTTCCAACCTTTGTGTCCATCTATCAACAAAATCTTAAGGACTTGCGTTATATTTTTTTTTGGTAAAATACTGAGTCAGCCGTTTTTAAAAGATCGGCTTAAACTCGGCGATTTTGAATCACTACACTCTAATTAATAATTTACTTGTTATTTTTTGGCCTCGTTCTTTTTAAACTCAAGCGTTTTATGATTAAATTTGGTGATAAAAATTCTCTTATAGTGAACTAGGTTGAGGCCCTCATAAACCTTTTTATGAAGAAAAAATAATATAAGCATAATATTATTCATGAAGATTGTGTTAAGGTAAATTGTAAACTCAGTTGCCCTCTTAAGCAAGATCTATGGGGATGCCCCATCTGCAAATGTATCATCTTTACTTCAGAGCCAAAACCCAGGAACATGCTAACGAAACCTATCAAAAAACACTTTATCAAAATCAATCCAACTCCCACAGATGCACCGAAAGACTTCACACCCGTCTTTATAACCACCGCAACTAAGTCTACAACTCCAACTACTCTTACCACGCCATCTACCCCTACCACGCCAACTTCCCTTACCACTCCAACTTCCCTTACCACGCCAACTTCCCTTACCACGCCAACTTCCCTTACCACGCCAACTACCCTTACCACACCAACCACCCTTACCACGCCGAACTACCCTTACCACGCGAACTACCCTTACCACGCGAACTACCCTTACCACGCCAACTACCCCTACCATGCTTTCTACCCTTAAAAACACACCCACTACAAGAACTTTTATCAGTCCTACAACTTCGTCTACGACTGTTAAGACCATTCAAACTACTAAATCATTGGCATTTAAAATAGCTCCCTAGTCGGCCAGCAATTGTGATTCTTTATAAACATAAATCGCCTTTTTATTTTAAGATAATTTTTTTGTATTATGATATTTTTTTAATAATTTATTTATCTTTGAGAACTATTGTTAAAATTTATTAATAAATTCGACATGAGTATCAAATCAAAGTTTATTAAAAAATATTTTCATTGTAATGTTGAATATAATGTAGTTAACCCACTAATAGTCTCAAAAATATGCCTACGACTCCTAAAACCACTCAACCTATTAAATCATTGACAAAATAAACGCCTATTTAGTCATTCACGATCGTGATCTTAATCTTTATGATGATAGTGATAATAAATAATAACTCATCTTCCTTCAAAATATTGCTCTTTACTTTTATAAAAAAAATTTGTATCAAGATATTTTATTTATAATTAATGTATCTGTGGGAAACTTTGATGAGATCTATAAATTTTTAACCCCCATAATTAAATTCAGATAATGTATGATTAAAAGTATAAAGTCTAGATACCACACTGAACGATCTTGAGAAATTTTGCTGGAAAAATATTTCGCAATGGTAAATTTAAATGTAATTAACATGGTCTTGTGGGTTTCCTTGCGGATACAAAAAGGCGGGGTGATTATGCCAGGAGGGGCCTTGCAAAATTCAAGACGTTCTTATCTGGATGGCTGAATGAAATAAAACGAAAGATAATTTCTAATTAGATATTTTGTTTTAAAAAAAAATAATTCGCAGAGAATTCGCGCCAACGACGAATAAGCGGTAACATCAATTTGGCGCCAATAATATATAAATAAAATCATCATTTGATTGGTCTAACGTTTGATTCCTTTTTTAAGGATAATTTTTTTTTTACCTTCTTCATAATTTCGAATTCGAATAATTAATAAATATTTATAAACATTTGTTTTAATTTTAAAAAGAAAATTATAAATTAATTATTAGATTTTTTTTTGTATAGCGATTCCAAATTGTGAGTTAATTTAGTTAAACGGCTCATTTTGAGCCGGTTTTTAAAAACGGCTAACTCAATATTTCATCTAGAATAATATTTCGCAAGCCTGAAGATTTTGTCTGCAGAAGGAACAAAGGTTTGGATATCTACTAAATCTCGAGACATAGGCAATATTTTTCTGGCTAAAATATTGAGTTAGCCGTTTTTAAAAATCCGCTCGAATCGAGCCGTTTAACAAGACTAGTGAGTGAGTATTTAGTTATTGAAAGCAAAAAAAGAAAGTTTAGAGGGAAAATCTTTAAAAAGAGAAGAAAAAAGATTAAATGGATTTTCCGATCAAATTTTACCCATAAAAAATCCAAATTTTTCCTAATTTTCAAGCTTAAATAAAAAATCCTTCAATGATGAAAAAAATTATGAGCTGATCTTAGAAGATTTTCTTCAAACTCAAAAATTTAGGAGGCTTAAAAGTTGAGTAATAAAATTATGTTATATATATATATCATATGTAAATAATTTATTTATTAAAAAAAATTAAAATATAAACAAGGAACAAAATCAAACATTTTGTCCTTTTTTTAATAATTAAAAACTTGAGAAAACGTTTTACCAATTTGGCGCTAGAATGCATTTATACTCTTTACTTTCACAGCTGTTTTTTTATTTTTATAAATTTACTTTTCGTTACCTTTACCCTATCTTTAATGTAGCTGTCCTAAGTTGTTTGTTGGATACTTCTATCAAAGATAAACGGAAAGAAAAAAATAATATTCTATTCCTTTTTATTATTTTCTTTTATTTTTGCCAACAATATTTAAAACTTTTTACAAACATTCCAGATTACTATATCCGCGTTAAGATCTCTGCTATCTGTTACCTCTAATATTTATCGCCCCCACCAATGTCATATTGGTATGGCAATGGAGAATTAATTGACAAGCAAAGGTTTTAATTTCAATGAAGCCGCCATTTTAAATCAAAGTTTGTAACGAAGCACAACCAAACACAAACTAGTCTCAGATCTGTTGTGGTATTATGGATGGCATATAACATGGCTCGTTGAACTATAAAACCCGAATTTGCTCCTTTAAAAAAAACGTGATGATAACTTAGGATGAGTTGGGCAGATCCTCCGGGAAAAGAATTTAGATACAGATTCTTTATAAAAAAAACTGATCTCTTTTATACAGATAATAGTATCTTATTCAAAATATCAAGAAGATAAATGAGAGATACAATGTAATACACTTTTTATGAAATTATCATTGCTAAATTAGAATGGTTAACATTTTTTATTATTTATTAGTGAAGAACATAACATGCTCCCCCAAAATCCCATCTTCAGATCGTGACGGGGCAGCGTCAAAGTCTTTTGGAGGCTAATGGAGGTCTAAAATGTTCCATACGGTCTGGGTCTAGAATAATATCATTGTCTCCTCGACTGGGTGTAAAAACCACCTAAAGAGGGATGTCAGGAGAGGCATCCGATTGTAAAAAACCTTGCTACAAAATCCCCTAATGATTAAATCAAAGGGAAAACTGGCCAACCTGGAAATCACCATTAAGCGGGATAGAAGAACATAACATACGCATAAAATAAGAATGGATATTTAAAATAATTAATTTAATAAAGAATTAATTATTTTAATCAGGCTTTTTAATATTCGTTAACGCATATTCATAATAGGAGTTGAAATATTAATTTGCAATAGTTTATTTAAAATTTATTTCTTTAAAGATAATCACCAATGGAAGGATAATAATTAAGCATTTTCTAACATATTTCGACGGTTTTTAAGATAATTTAAAACCTCGCTCAATATTATTTATATTATTTAACTCAGCGACACTTGTTTCACTAAAAGAAAAATAATCAACATTTTCTATATTAGATATTTAATCTATTGGTATTATAGTTATAGTTTGAGCTTGTTTATACTACTACTACTAAATTTAGGGCTTCTTCTAATAATATATTTGGAAAGTATTCTTTTTTAACATCTGACTATATCCATAACTTCTTAAAATATGGATGCAATTATAATGCCAAAAAAAGGCTCTAAGGAAAAAAATTACCCAAAACTTTTGCCTATATACCATCTTGGATAGCTTTTAATAAAGGGAGACAATTTTACAAACTTGAATTTTAAAGTTTACCCAACTCCCTTTTAACCACAAATAGTAATTGGCACTAATTTTCCATAAAATGTACCACTCTACCATTCTAAACTGGGCTTGTAAAAAAATTTACTTCTGCGTGCTTGAGCCGGACCTGATCAAAAAATCCAGGCCCATCAAGGTTCTCTGTAACTCAGTTCTATAGTTTAAATTTGGAAATGGGACAAAATTTGACATAATTTGGCTACCCTGCAAAACCAACAGATTGTAAGCTACCTTTTTTTTCGAGTTGTGAAGAAAAAAAAAGGATTAGTTTAGTATATCCGAATTATATATATATTTAAAGTATTAGGTATATGTTTTATTTTATTTTATCACTTAAGTGAATCTTGGCAAAAATAAAAAGGATATAAATGTACCAATAAAAAAAATATATATGATAAATTCACAGCTTGATTATTGAACTGTTCTATTTAATTTCTTAAAATGAGAAAATCGACTCTTAAAGTTTCAAAGATATATTAATTTATATTATGGATAAATAATATTAGGTTTAAAGCAAAATTAAAATCTTTCTATATACATGAAACACAATTTGATTTTCGCACATTAGATAATTCGCAATATCCCGCTATTTTTCTGTTAAAAAAAATTTTGAGCAAGTGAACTAATGATAATTGCTTCATGACTTGTTCTAAACTAATTATTCGTTAATTCGTGATGTGATTCGTCGTTGCCAATCAAGGGGTTTTCGACAAAATTCCTGTAAGTTTTAACTCGCTTCCATTCACCCGTGGCGTAATTCATTTGAAAAAATATTTGGGCCACCATTATAGACCTGGTGATAAGGGAGTTGGCGATGTTCAAAGCCGCGTCCGAACTTGTTTGGTGGGATAGGTTGACCTCTTCGAGTCTCTCGCTGAGTTTGATAGACAGAACGTGCCCTTGATTGGGACAAGGATTATCTCAAAAAAAATTATATATATATATTCATTTTAAAACCGTAAAATAGCGAATTTTCAAATTATATTTTAATTGGAAATGGCAAAGAACAAATCAATCGATAATTGCAATCAATTTTATCATAAACTATTAGAATCAAGCAAAATAAATAAAAAATATATCAAATTCAAACAAATTCCTTAATTCTTCGAAGAAGAAAAAAAATCAGGACCGAAACTGGAGATATTTAACTTAATTATTGAAAAAAAAACCTCTGATCCCCGACATGAACGCTAGGATTAGAGCCTTTTCTGGAGCCGAGACTTTGTTGGCATCCTTAAAAATTTCTTGGGCGTGGGCTATTTGCTCGGACTGTTTTAGAAACAATAATTTCATATTATATTATATAAAATGAAAGATAACTAAAAGCAGGGTTCTGGACCCGAATTCGTGTTCAGAAATTTAACAGATAAAACAGAGACCGATTCATGACCAACCCATAGAACCCGTATAGACCTACGGGGGAGTTCGATCTCTTTAAAAAATGTGGTTTTCGATTAATTCTGTTATCAAATTTGCGCTAAACGGAGTTTAAAATTCCTGAACCCTGAATAAAAGAAACAAATTTTTTTTTCTACCGTGAGCTTTAACAGATTAGGGTTGTTGATGTTAATAGGAACCGATTTATTAGCATCTGTATAATATTTTTAAAAAAAACATAATTAACAATAGAAGTAAGATTTTTTTTTTAAAAATCTACATATAAAAATGACAATAGTATCTTTGTTAGAGTCATTACCAGATACCAAATTGGTATTGAGGTCCTCGCTATCGATATTGTTACTCGTGTTTATATTGCTCGGGCTATTGGTATTATCGGGTGCCTGGGCGACGTTGGGGTTGTTAACGATGATATTGGAATAACTTTTATAGGAAGCAGCGGCTAAATTATCTGGCACCTGACTATTTTGTTTCATCTGTACATTGCCAGCATTCGAAAAATTACTGAGGGCTGCCACGTGATTAGGATTCAACTTACATACATAATTATTTTGTTTAAAAAATTATATACATAAATATATAGTGATGTGTTAATTTTCCAATTTCAAATCATTTTTTCGAGCGCGCTTATTTAAATTTTAAAAATCTGATTTTACCGGAAAGGTATTTAGAGAAGAGAAGAAGAAGAGAAGAGAAGAGAAGAAGAGAGAAGAGAAGAGAAGAAGAAGAAGAAGAGAAGAGAAGAGAAGAGAAGAGAAGAGAAGAAGAAGAAGAAGAAGAAGAAGAAGAAGAGAAGAGAAGAAGAAGAAGAGAAGAGAAGAAGAAGAAGAGAAGAGAAGAAGAAGAAGAAGAAGAGAAGAGAAGAAGAAGAAGAAGAAGAAGAAGAAGAGAAGAAGAAGAAGAGAAGAGAAGAAGAAGAAGAAGAAGAAGAAGAGAAGAGAAGAGAAGAAGAGAAGAGAAGAAGAAAGAGAAGAAGAAGAGAAGAAGAAGAGAAGAGAAGAGAAGAGAAGAAAACGCTCTTAAAATATGATTTTAAAATTGTAAAAAAAAATAACACATAACCGCTAACATATATATAAAAGGTATCATTAAATAAAATACTGATTTATCTAAATAAATCACATTACTCACTGTATGCACGTCGAAGAAGGGTGCAGGGTTGTGCGATCCACCAGGGTTATTAGTTTGAAGATTGAAATTAAAACTGATATCGTCTAAAACATATTAAAATAATGCAAAAGAATAATAATCTATAATTTGGTGCTTTGTTATAATTTAAAAAAAAAAGGCGTAATTTTAAAAATCGTTAGGCAGGATTAAATATTTTTTCGGGAGAGTCTCCTTTGATCGTAAGATTTTGAATTGTAATTTTCCGTCCATTTTGATTATTAATATGAATTTTTTTTTATGCGGTTAATTATTCGATTTATGCGTTTATTTAATATATACGTAGTGTTGCCTAAATGGCTCGATTTGAGCCGATTTTTAAAAAACGGCTAGCTATATATCTTAGGCCATAAGCCTCGAGATTTAGGCCGCATTCATAGTGGATCCGATCCGACACGATTTAACAGCTGGTCGATTTTTAAAAATCGGTTTATGAGAATCAATTTTTCTTTATTAAAACCAATATTTCTTAGGTTATTATCATGTATAGAATTAAAGATAAAATTAATGTTATTTAATAAAAAAAAAATTGATCTCATAAATATATTTTAAAAATCGATCAGCTGTTAAATCGTGTCGGATCGGATCCACTATGAATGCGGCCTTAAGCGATCAGATTTCCAAACCTTTGTGCCCATCTATGATCAAAATTTTCGGGCTTTGTGGGTAATAATTTTCTGGGTAAAATATTGAGTTTGCCGTTTTTAGGGAATCGGCTCGAATCGAGCCGTTTAACAACGCTAATATATGAGATCTTTACGATCTACGATCATAGTTAGGCAGATCGTGTTTACCGATTTCACATTCGATTCAAAAGTGCGCACAAACTAAGCGTTTCGTTTCAAACGTTGCGTTGCAAGCGCAAATAATGCATTACAAATGGCCTAGTGCAAATTGGTAAAATTACCGTCATGGCGTTAGCAACCATTTTAATCTCAATACTTTTTTTCGGAGTTGTTAAAAGATACTTTTTAAATGGATCTAGATACAGATACATCGTCTAAAATAATATCTAGATATACAGGTATTTTAATCAAAAATCTATCTAGATACAGATACCACATTTTTATATCTAAATACAGGATCTAGATACTTTAACAACTCTGCTTTTTTTTATTATTCTTTGCTTTGTAATATTATATAAAAAATGTAATATAAATAACTTACTTATAATCCAAAAAAAAAGGAATATTTTGAAAAATTTTGAAAATTAAAGAAATAAGAAGGCAGACGATAATATAATTTTAAAAAACAAATCCATTTTTTAAAAAAAACTTATTTAAAATTATGAATCGACGGATATTAATAAAAAGACAACCTCAATTTAAACAAGGAACGCGTTACGTTTTATTTTTAATTTAAAAATTACGGCAAAACGCAAACGCTCAATTTGTGCGCGCTATAATGTAGTCCTGTCTAATGAATAGCTTTAACAAAAAAAAAGTGGGAGGGTAAAAATGACTTTGAAATAATAAATAAAAAAATTAATTTTATTTTAGAAAATTTTTTTCCGATATATTATTTATTCAAACAAACAAAAAAAAAATTGGCCTAAAAAACTTAGATGAGCGATTTTGGAAGGAAAGCGAATATAAAAATATTTGTCCAAGATTCAAATTAAATGAATATGAAATGATTGCTAAGTTTCGACAATAGAAGTTATTCCTATTGCAAAGTTTAAAAAATTTCCTCAACAGTGGAGTTTAGAGATTTCGGGCCGGGTCGAGCTTAAATTTTTAAATATGATATCGTTACATTTTGTCAAATAAATTTAATATATTATTTTAAAATTCTTGCAAGAAACAAGAGCGAACATTTTTTTTATTTGTAGAATATATTTTTAAAATTTTTTCTATATTTAAATTAAATTCGGGCCGGGCCGAGCGGTTTTTATTTCGGGTGGGACTTTTCGAGACAAATAAAAAAATCCGTTCGGGATAGGGTCGGATCGGGCTTGGGAAATTAGGTCCGATGCAAATCACTAGTGTGGATATTTTATGCTGCATGAATGTCGAGTGTGAAAGGGGTTTTCATCTTATGATTTTGATCATTTTAGATTCAAGCAAGTTTAAAGAGTAATAGAATTTGTAAAATTTAATTTTCATAAATATTAATGGATCATGGATCAAAGTAGGGAAAAGGAAAAATAGCAGTGAATGAAATCTTTCCAAAAAAAAAATACAGCTCAAGAAAAGGAAGAAATGAAAGATAAATGGAAAATTTGTTTTAAATTCATATTTATATATATATTTTAATTTATATAGATATTGGTGGCATTAAATTTTTTACATTATTTTTAAAATATCATATAAATAGAGAATTTATTCATATTGATAATAATTTTATATACATATATATACCATATTTTAGATAATATATATAAAATAATCACAGCTCCTCCCAACTCTTCGTAAATTTTTAAGGAATATACCATTGGTGATGAGTAAAATAAAATCAGACAAAACTAGACTATAAAACATAGCTATTTTAAATATTTATAAGATGGCATAATTTCAACAAGAAAGTGCCCAGGTAATAGAGCACCCCCTCCCCCAGAAGCTGAGGTTCTAAAAATCATAAGTTCCTGAATGGGTGGGGGGGGGGGATTATATGACACTGAATGTAAACAATAATTTCAAAAGGGTAATGTATACAAATATTTTGTTAAAGTTTTAAAAAATATATATTATTTGGTTTTAACCTAGCTTTCTTCGTTTTTTTGCGTCTTTTGTAGTTAGAGGTTGTTCAGATATATCCAATAACTAAAAAAGTAGAGAAGAAAAAAAAATGTAATTTGCAGTTGACAAATATGATCTTGTTTTAACGTCATATTTACAAATTATTTCCTAAAATCTTTATAAAGAAAACCATTTGAATTTTAACATTAGATAGTAAAATTGCTTGGCCAAATATAATATAGAAAAATCAATAAATATAAAATATTCTCACTTTAATTTTGCCACCTTCCTTTTTGGTTGTGCTTAATGTTTGCTTGGTAACTTTACTGGATGAATTTGTTGTTTGGGATTTGAATTTAAGGTCTAAGAATTGAGATGCTGCAAGAATTAACAATTTATATTATGAATATTTTTTTTATTAAATAAAATTTTATATATATATAATTAAATTATTTATAAAGTGATATCAAAAACCTTCAGATTTGTTAGCAACCTTTGATTTTATTGGTATTAATGCACCCATTGGATTCTTTGATTTGGCCTGAATGTGTGCATCAGATGCTAATAACATATTAACACAATTTAAAAGGGTTAAAACTAAATTACCTTTCTGCAGCATTTCAGCCCTTAAAATTGCTGATTTTGGTTTTCTTTTCAATGCAAAATATTTTGTATAAGTTGGTTGATAGCCAGTTATTGATTGTAATGCATTTTTATTTAAATATAAACTTTCTAAAGGAAGTAAGGATGGAGTAACATTATGATTTACTGGATTGCTATCTATGATCTTTTGTACTAAAATGGCAATAGAATTTATTTTTCTAATAATTATCACTTTCTTCTAGTAAATTTGGAAAATATTCATCCATAACATCATTGTCAAAATTAATAATACCCTTTTCTGGATATGATTTTAATAATTTTGCTAAGGCTGAACACCATTGATCTGAACATTCTGATGCCACTTCAATAAATTGGTCAATCTCATTTTTCCACTTTAATAATTATAAAATGAATAATTTTAAAAAACGATTATTTTTATTTAACCTCTTCAATATTTCTTCGTGATACATGCAATAACGAAAGGAGAAATTTAATTTTGACCTGCGGTTGAAAGTTATTTAATATAGTTGCAGCATTTGTTATAGTCTGGGGGTTTAAATGAGGGGATATAATTTTCGCCGACCAATGATCATCTAATTGCCCTAATTTGTTATGTAGCCATAAGGATAAATCAGCATCTCTTATGCTAGCCATCTGATTTGAAAACTTTGAAATCTATGAATGAATGCAATATAATTAAACCTATTTGTGATAGGTAAACACAGAATGACAGGTAAATTTTAAATTTATTTTAGAAACAGATTTTAAAAAGTTTACCATTTATAAATAAAGTCCATCTTAGTAAAAACATAGCTAAACATGTAAAATTGGTAAAATTATTATATAAGAATTGCTCATAACGATAAGCCAGTAAATAGATAAATAAAAAGTATTACTTTGTTTAACCTTATATTAATTTTCATATAAAAATAAGAGATCCATATACTATACCATATACTATTTGGGTAATTATTTTTATTAGACCCGATGTTCTCGCAACTAGATTATTGTTTTGATACTTTAGTGATTTTGTGTCTAGTTTCCTTATCATTTCTTTATCTACTTGATCTAACGCAGGAGTAAGATTGAGTCTGAATTTGGAAGAAATGTCTTTTCCTTTATTGTCCACACCATCCGGATATTTGATCAAAGATTCCTTTCAATGTTAGATAAATCCATGCTATACATAAATTGATCCCTCAATCTGGTATCAACGACAACATCCTTACCATAGTTACATTTGGCCCCCAGTAGAGTAAGTTTATAAATAAATTCCATTAATGGCTCTCCTTCCTTTTTTTAAAGTAGATTAAAGTTCATACGTGTTTAACAAAAGAACGAACGATAATAGCCTTGTCCCATGCACACCTTCTAGAAAACTTCGCAAAGGCAAAATGGTTAAGGTGATGAAATCCCTTAAATATCTTGATGTAACCATTAACAACAAAGAAGGCTGCAAGCAGAAACTTAAAATCCGTATACATAATGCCAGGGCACAATTTTATAAATTTTCAAATTGTGGAAAGCTAGATCGGTGTTTACAAAATTCCGAATTTTTAATTCTGAATTATTCCAATTCTCCCCTATGGTGGAAACATCTGGTATATTGTCAAAACAGAGACCAGAAAATTGCAAACGTTCGTGAATAAATGTCTAAGAACAAAAACTGTCCTTTTACCCTTATATCATTTCGTATTAAAATCTTGGAAAAGGTCAAACCACACCCAATTACATGTGACAAAAAAAGAAGCACTTAACTTTCTTTGCCCACATTTTAAGGAACAACAGTATCAATCGCCTGGTTACCGACTCCATTAACTGGTTATACTCATTTAATGGGAAAACGTACAAGTATAAGCAGTGACAAAGCGTCAAGTTTACTATTAGGAAAGCTATTTAAAAAAAAAAATTTTTTATTTTAGTCAAACTCAAACCATAAAATTAAGATTTATAAATAAGTGGTATTCGCCTTTATTTTTTAGTAAAAATGATAGTACTGCATAAGTTATTGATAAATTTTAAATTTTTTAATAATTTTTTTTCAATCGAAATCAAAGATAGATTTGATAATCGATTTTGGCTCATCCTGTTTCTGCAATAAGATTTGATTCGTTTTAAAGATGAAAAACTCCGTTCTGATTTGCTGTTCTTGAAGCCAAAGTTAAGATGAATTTGCATAATTTAAAAAACTCTTTAGAACTTTTCATCAAATCGGTGCATATTAAAATTCAAATATTTCATTAACTTTCTTTTTCTTTCTAAATTCAACATCCCGACACTACCTTTAATTCGGTTTCCAGCTTGTGTAAGTCGAAAAATTGAGAATAAGTGTCATTTAAATTATCTAATAAATATTTTGGGAAATTTTGATTATTTGGAATTTACTAATATCTAACAATAATATTTTTTGGTATATATGAAATAGAATTAATCAAATCATTATGAATATCGCTTATTAGTCCAATAAAAACTGCACTATTTCTAAATGATGTTTCAATAGTAAATTTTCTTCCATGAGCAAATAAATTATTTCAATATAATTTTCTCTATTTACTGAATTAGAAGATTCATCATCACCACGGAATACGAGCTCCTGAATTCCAAGAAAACATATAGAATTGATCAATATTTTCAATATTTTTCTATTTAATTTGACTTAAGAATTATGCTGTTTGATTAATATTTTGCGCATCATATCTATCATATTTTCAATATGATTTTGGCCAAATGTTTTAAATTGAATCATCGACTGCAAATGAGAGGTTGATTCTTCATGCCATTTAACTGCTTTGAAATATTATTCATATCCAAAAATTTTTTATCATACCAAACATATTTTTCCTTTGGGAATAATAGGCCTAACCAAAAATATAGAGAATTAGAAAATTCACATCCAGTGAGCCATTCATATTTTTCATATTTATCGATAGAAAAATTACGGATGCAAGTTTAGATTTTTTTTTTAAGTTTTGTAAAATTGGTTTTGGTCTTCCTTTTTCAATAATCAATTTTTTAGCATCAAAATTTATTGAGCTTAATGATAATCTATATTATAATTTTCCGATGTCCTCACTACGTCATCGTGACGTCATGTCATCGATACGTCATGTCATCGCTACGTCATGTCATCGTTATGTCATGTCATCGGCTTTTATTTATTTATTTTTTTTTATTTGTTTAATTTATTTATTTTATACAAACAGATGATCCTATAACTATTTTCTATGCAACTGTAGGAGGCCATGTTAAAACCCAAAAGTAATACATTATTTACTAATGTTGATTTTATTTATTTATTTATACAAACAGATGATCCTATAACTTAAATTTTCTATGCAACTGTAGGAGTCCATATTAAAACCAAAAAGTAATACATTATTTACTATTGTTGATTTTATTTATTTATTTTATACAAACAGATGATCCTATAACTTAAATTTTAACTGAGTTAATTCAATAAATTTAATATCTCTAGGCTTGGGAAAATTTTTTCAAAATTATTATGGGTTGGACTGGGCTTAAAAAATATTTCTCAAAATTAATATTGGCTTGGTTTTCAAAAATTATTAAGGATTGAAATGGGCTTGAGAAAATCTTTTTAAATTATTAAGATCTTGGATGCTTGGAAATTTTTTCCAAATATTGTAGGCTTGAACCTATATTGGGATTTTTTAATGTTAAATGTTAGTCTTATGTTAATATTTTTATAAAGTATTATATTTTACCCGTAGACTAATTCGTAAATCAGAGATTTCCCCTTCATTAATTATAATATTAATATCTCTGCCCCCCCCCCAATTTTTTTGATGATATCCCTCCAACTAAGATATATGCATCTAATATTGACCTATCTACTGGTTTACAGAATTTTAATGTTCGTTTTATTTCAATAATAACGTTTATTTATATTTTTGCCTGATTTTTTTATTTGTCTAGGCTAACCCAACCTTAATCCCTCACATTGCTACAAAACATGATGAATCTATTAAAGATAAGCAAAGAAAATAATGATGAATAAACAAACGCCTTGCCCGTTCTAGAGTTACTGGTAGCCAAAATAATAAAAAAACTACGCTTAAAATGGACTCCTCTGGAGGTTTATTTCGTTTTTTTATCTTATGTTTTATATTTATATGTTTATTTTATTTTCACCCAGTTGCCTCCAAATAATACTACCACAATCCCTATGCCACCTCTGCCTATTTTTTAACAAATAAGCATTCAATTCCGTACTATCATTCACTTGGAGTTATTATAAATATTACTTTATCTAATCCTCTGAGAAACTTTCGTGATTATTTAGAGGAATGTTCAAACTTGAATGTGCAGTACGGCCATTTTCATCAACTTTATTAATGGAAAAATATGCAGTAGTTCTGTCGTGGCCTTTATAACAATTCTTACTACCTTTTTATGGTTAACATTGTCGTTCATGATTCTATTTTAGAGGGGCTACCAATGCTATTGACAGAAATATCATTTTGCGTTACCAGTATCCCAAGGCATAGGCATATGACTCATCTATATCAGGACTTATTGTGTTTTGTACACTGCTTTGATAATCCGTCATTACTTTCATCTACAACCCTAAATGATATGAAATTGTACATTAATTATTTCCTTTCCAGACAACCTTCCAAATTTATTTGTCGCTTTTTCCATCAAAAATAAAAATGTCAACAAGGATTTGCTCTTAATTTTATCAAATACACAACATAATAATTATTCCTCATTATTTTTAAAAAAAATTAGCCTAAATTTATATGTCAATAAAAAATATTTTATAATTTGCATATAAGTTTCATTAGTGTTTAATGTCATTTTTGTTATTTAAATAGATAGCATTTTTTTTTACTTAACATAAAATATAGACAAATAATTTGGGAAATGCAAGACATACATTAAATTTATCCGAAAAGCTACAATAACCCTATATAATAAACAATAATTTATTTTATATATATAATTATAATTGATCATATTACCAAAAAGTATAAGAGTCGGTTATTTTTATTTTATTTGTCATGATTCTCTAATAAGTGGTTTTCCCAGGCCTTCCCAGTTTCCCTTAATACGGAATTCACATGTGTTTTTTTTTGCACCTTAGACTAATTGGTAAATCAGATAATTCCCCTTCATGTGATGATAAATCAATTAAAAATTTAACTATCTCCGAGGTGGGAAAAAATTTTCAAAATTATATTGGATACGACTGGGTTGGAACCTCAAAATTTATATTAGCTTGCACCTGACATGGGAATATCTTTAACAAATTATTAAGGTTTGAGCTGGGCTGGATAAACTTTTTAATAATTATATGCTTCCTAATATTGTGAGCTTGGATCTGGCATGACATCTATCGTAAAAAGATGAATAAAAATCTCATTCCCCATCATTTTGAAGGGCTTTCTACTAGTGTTAATAAATTTTCAATAATACAATTACAATTATTAAACATTCATTAAGGATTTTAAAAACGAAAAATTTTTTATTTTAAAAAAGTAAGGAAAAAAAATATTATATAAAAAAATTTCTTTCTCTTTTATTTATTAAAAAAATAAGCTTTTTTAATTTGCTTCCCCAATGCTTATTTTTTAATGGTATAATTACACAATACCATGGAATGATTTTCTCTTTATTTATTAAAAAAATAAGCAATATTAAATTTGCTTCCCTCATGTATATTTTTTTTTAATGTAGTAAAAATAATAGTTAATTTTTTAACTTAGTAAAAATAATAGTAACTTTTTTAACGTAGTAAAAATAATAGTATTTCTTAATGTAGTAATATGATATTAATTTTTTAACGTTATAAAAATTATATTAATCTTTTTAATGTTATAAAAATTATATTAATTTTTTTAACGAAGTCAGTTTAGTTTATTAAGCATAGTACAAAGATTATATTAAGTTTATTTAAAAATTTTGTAAAAAAAATTTCACGGGAAGCAATGCTTTCCTTGCTTCTATGGACGCTTCGTCACTGAATATAAGGCATCATGGTTATACAGACTTTGAAAAATATAATGCACTTAAACTTATATATGAAGCTTTTTCTGAAATTAAATAAAAACACAAGATCTATTAAGGAAATTTCTAAAAATCAAATCAAGGTAATCTTTAATTTCACTTCGGACTAGTATTTCATTGACATTAGCTCTTATTTCACTTATTCTTTTCGTGTGCTTTATGATTTCATTAGAATTTTTTACTTATCATAAAATTAAAACCAGCCCTTCCCTCGCCTATAATGCAATTCATGATGGGCTGTCTTTCTCTGCCCATTCCCCTTCAATCCCACAGAAGTTTATGTAATAGTTTTAGGACTATTATGCCTGAAAATACGTACTTATTGTGAGCAAACATGTGCTCATATTTTTCCCTTAAATCAAATATCCTGTTTGATAGATTTGAGGAAAAGTAGTACTATTGTATCCATAACTTGAGGGCGAAACGTTTTTATCACGTATATACATATGGAGTATCTATATTATGTTAGCGTCAATGTGTTTTTTCATTTAAATTTTTTATTTTTTCAATTTTATATCATTTTTTTCAGTATGTTTTATTTTAAAAAAAAAGTAATCCAATTTTAAAAAAATGGCATTTCATCATGTTTAATAACTATCCTATAAATTTTATATCATTTACCCAAAAACATTTTGGTAATTTAAAATTTATTTTAAAAAATCTACGGAAAACTAATATAATTAATATTATTTAACATTTTTAAATGGCTCTAAAAAAAATGATTTAATATTGAAAAAAAAAACACATTGATGACGTTAAGATACATAAGCGGCAATGAATTTAGATATACATTATTTTTATTTTCAAAGACAAATTTAATTGCTCTATAACCTTATTATTTTGTGAATATAATTCAAAATTCTTTGGGATTTATTTTAAGGAGTATACGTTTTAAAAATTTTTGCAATATTTGTTTATCTGAATCTTAAGGATAATCTTAACCTAAACCTGAACCCCCTTTTTAAAAATTTTAGGAAGTGGAACCAAAGCAGCCTGAAATATTTGTTTCCGGTTTTATCAATCTCTTTTTTTTCCTCTAACAACAACTTAAAAGCTAGGGAGCCTAAAAAATAATACCTTTATTTTATGAGATGTTTTCATTTGTTACCTGGCCAACGAATTAAGAAAATTAAATTTCGTCCAGCCAAAAAAAAGAAAGAAATTAATCAATACAAAAAAAAAATATTTTAAAAAAATGTAATAATATATTTTTTTCATCGCTTAATGATGGCTTTTTTTCAAGCAAAAATCGATATAAACACATTATTTGGGGAAAATATTTGAAAACTTTATAATATATATATATATCAATTTTTATTTTTCAATTTTGAGGAAAGGATAAATAGCTAATTATTATAAATCATCAATTTTTTTTTTATTAATTTTTCTTATTAAACATTTTTAACTTTCCAAAGGCTGGATAAGTTTCGTGTTGTTACCTGATAATGGATTCGTCAACATGGGTAATTTCGTTGATTCTTGTTTCAGATGCCGTAAAAAAAAGTAAAATATTTTTTAGAAAAGAATATTTATTTTACAAAATTTGACATATTCCAGCTTTTTATTTTAATCACACGATGTCCTAAAATCATAGCGACATTTTTTTTTAAAAAAAACACACGCACACTCAGTGTCCTTCTTCCGCTCAAAATAGCGCGACAAGTGACACCTCTATGTTTTTTGAAAAGAAGTGACCAGTGTTGTTAATAGCCCGATTTGAATCGACTTTTCAAAAAGGCTAAATATTATGTTTATGCATCAATTGGCAGATAGATGTACAAAGCATTTCTGCCAGCTATAAGCAAAATCTTCAGGGCTTACATAATGTTATTTTGGAATCTTAATTGGGTCTTTTTTTAAGGCTGCATTCAAAGTGGAGACGGATCCGTTTTTTACATCCGTTCTAGGGATTTTTAACAACACTAGGAGTGATTGTTTATAGTTTATATCATTGTAAAAAATCTTGCATTTCTAATTTTGTATCATTTATTTATTTTATTTTTTCAAATGGCTAGACCAAAAATGGATATAAACTATATAATGATAAACGAAATTATATCACCGTCAACTATTCAGGTTAATAACATTATTCTTTCTATTAAAAATTTTAAAAAGTCGTAACTTTTAAATTTAGCGCATGATTGGTAATGTAGATATTTTGACAATACGCGTATTGCCCTTAGTCAATAGGAAGTGTTAAGCCACATATTTATGTCTAATAGATAATGAAGGTCAATTGTCTGGTCCTAATAATCTTAGACCGGGACCGGACCGGACCGATTGTTGGACCGATCTTTTAGGACCGTGGTCCGGACCGGTCTTTTATTATTATTTAGGTTTGATTTACTATTCAATTTATATAATTTTTTATATATTTTATTTTATGATATTTTTCTAGATGAGTTATTTTAGATTTTGTTAATTTTTATTTTACAATATGAAAACCATTAGTTTTCCAAGAAACATTTTACTTATAATCCCAATAAAAAACATGAATATGTGTTCGCTGCAGTACTAAATTTAATGTATCGTCAGCATCAAGTAACAAAATAATTATAAATTTTAAGCAATAAATTAATCAATATAAGCAGTATTATTATTAAAATATTTTGGTTATTATTTATATAGTTCTATTTTTTCTTAAGAAACTGTCAGAATAATTCATTGTCAAAATAACTTAACCTTATTCTTAATAAAATTAATTAGGTACCTTAAGCAGACATCTGATAGAACATAAAATATATATTTTTAATGATAAAAATGAAAATATCTCAAAAACACAAACTCTTAATTTTAATATGCCCTCCACAGCACAAAATCACTTTCTCCAATACCATTGGATAAATTTTATTGTTTATAATACACTTATATTTAATAAAATGATAACAAATTAAATTACGTTAAAAATTATATGTTTTTTAAACAAATAAAAAGGCCGGTCCACCACGGTCTGGATTGATCTTTTTCTTAAGGACCGTGGTCCGGTCCGGTCCGAGGGCATCGGTCCAGTCCGGACCAAAGACCGGACCGTGACCTTCACTACTAATAGATATGATGTGTAGGCTTGTTACACATGATGCATATTCTATAAATTCCTGACAATTTAGCTACTAACCTATGAGTTCATAGTCATATGAATAAAGAAAAATTTGTGTTCTAGTAAATATCAAATTTAAGCTAATAATATAAATTACTCCTTATACACTTACCCACCTCCTTTCATTCAAAATTTTCAAAAAAAAAATGCAACACTAGTTAAAGGTCTGCAATAAGTGAAACCTAATTTGAAGGGCAAAATTAATCTATTAGTAACTTCCCCGACTAGAAAATACTAGCTCCGCCTATGCTATTGATTTTTAATTTATACACTGGCAATACATGTATTGACTAAGATATTAATCAGGCAATGTGTGGATATGGCCAGTAATCTATATCGCTTTTTTTGGTCCTACACTATCCCTTTGGTAATAGCCAAAAGAGCAAATAAGAAAATTTTAAAATAAAAACGAAAAAAAATCGCAAAAAAAAAATACAAAAAACCCCAAAAAAACAAATAAAATGTGAAAAATAACAATGCCACCAAAATATTTAAAGTTAATCAAAATATGAGATCCTAGTTTAAAAACTTTTTTAGTCTATGCTAAAAAACAAATAAAATGTGAAAAATAACAATGCCACCAAAATATTTAAAGTTAATCAAAATATGAGATCCTAGTTTAAAAACTTTTTTAGTCTATACTAAAAAGCTATTAAGTATACAAAACCTACCCTGGTCACCAGTTTAAGAGATTTTCTTAAATACATCTTGACATTCATTTTATTTTCCAATTTAAACAAGTAGAAGATTAAATATTGTATTGAAAAGATTATAGTGACTTAAAAAAAAGATATATATAATGTATTATTTTACATATTTAACAAAGAATGGAATCGAATCAGTATTAGAAAATCCGATGAAAGACTTAACAAAAAATAAACTAAAATTTGATGCCAACAAATCGAGAAATCCTATGAACCATTCATCATTCTCAACCCGAAAATTATTGGATAACAAATTCGAAAGCGGCTCGCTAAAGGGTATCGCGAAACTTAAATGGAAACATTTTAGCTCTAAAAGGTTTAGACGATCCCACTTTAAAAACCGGATGAGATACGAGCTTATCCATAGATCCTTAAAACAAACGGCTAACAGAAAACCACCATCTTTCAAACATCAAAGGCTAAATGAAGAGTTTCCTAGCTTATCCCAGTCCGATATCAGCATAATTACGAAGTTTTATTTATTTTTTTAAAATCAAGTTTTTATTCATGTTCATTGACACGATCTCATTTTCTGGATAGGTTTATTAGAATCTGACACCGCAGAACCTCCTAACCAATGACATTGTAATAATACCTATACTGACGATGCATCCATAATAATGCATTTTGAATGCGTAGTTGAATGCAAATCAGCTGGACCCGCCATTTTGGTAACCCATAGAGTAATTATTCTCTTGTTAAAAACTACTATTAAATTGATAACTTGCCTCTTCCTTATTATCTCGATGATCGGGCAATTTTTTAATAAAGTTTGCGTCAGACATAGGAATGGGTAACCAAAAATGGCCTCCCAGATGTTTTCATTGATGCACCCTTTTAATGAGTACATCTTCAGTCTACATATTATTATATGTCATTGCTTCCTAACTGACATTGATTGCAAATTTATACGTTATTTCTAATTAAATATTTTCTCTCATATTCCCTAAAAAGGGAACTTTTAAATTTCAAATCAAATTCATTGATCTCTATATTTCAAAAAAAAATAAATAACATAACAATTCTAATTTGTATATAATATGTCGAAGGTGTTTGGCGAACAGGAGTTTTCAGCAGATCTTTGAAACTTAAATAATTTATGGCGTCATTTTTTTAAAATCTAATAGGCATAATCATTTCAAAATCTTATTCCAATCTGTATAAGAGCATGCCTACCCTTTGAATATCATGCAATCTTGCAACTGTTGAACCATCGTAAATTTATTTAAAAAAGCTCTCTATTGTCTGATCCTTCAGAATTAAGTAATTCTATCTATAGATGATTTAAGTTAATAAAATTTTCTTAAAAAATTTTGGTCTATAAAGCATATTCCTTGAAATCGGTGAAAACATCTACCACATATATCACCATCTTCGCCGAATATTTCAACTAAATATATATATAAATATTTTTATTATTATATACTAGTGATATGACAAATGAACAACTCCTGATAGATCAAGGTTTATTTTACTTTTTTTTTAAAATATATATAAAAATTTGTTTTATGTTGCACTCATTTATGATTCACTTACAAGGCCACGTCTAATGTCTAATGCACATAGGGTATAAAGCCAGAAATATTTTTTTTTAAACATACACTATATACACACCGTTTTTATTCTTTCCTTGTAATCCAGTAAATATTTGTTTACATTCTCGTGTTTACAATTCCTAACCCCCCCCCTCACTCGTAGTGAACCGCAAATTCACGCCGAAATATATTTAAAAAAAACTCAGCATCTTTCGTAAAATTCTTCGTGAATTCCCGCCAACTGTAAATGAGAGGCAAGAAATATATTTTAAATTAGGAAGATTCGATTTATATGTAGAATCATATTTGCTAAGTTTTGATTTATAAAAAAAACAATAAGTAAAATTTATATAAAGTTTTACTGGAAAAAAAGAAGAAAACAGTGTTATTTTTATTTTGAACACAGTAAAACTCATCTAATTCGGGCATCGTTGGAACCAAGATTTTTTTTTGCCCAGACTTTTTTACTTTCTATTGGTAACTTATAGCATATTTGATTAGGACCCACAAATTTTGATCAAATTAAGGCGAGTTTCCCGAATTATCGAGAGCCCAAATTAAACATGTTTTACTGTATTATCAAAAAAAAACAATCGAGCATGGAATGTGTTCTCTTTCTGTTTTTTATTTTAAATGATTATTATTAAAGAAAGGTCGTTTGTGAATATATATATATATATATATGGTTTTTTATTTTTTCAAAATAACGATTAGGGGTGTAATGATTTTCTTGTTTAAATTTTAGGTAACAATTCTGGAAAATTAAAGCTCTCAGATTCTCCACTGAAAAGTTACATATCCACTTCCTACTCCGAACTTTCAGACCTTGAATCTCTTAATGATACAAGTTTGTGTTATTGAACAAAGTTTAAATATTTTTTGAGATTCATCCTGCACTTGTAATTAGTGTTGTTAAACGGCTCGTTTTGAGCCGATTTTCAAAAACGGCTAACTCAATATTTCATCCAGAAAAATATTACGCGATCCTGAAGATTCTGTGTTCATAGAATGAACAAAGGTCATGACATATATTATCAAAAACTCGAAGCTTAGGCAATATTTCTGGCTAAAATATCGAGTTAGCCGTTTTTAAAAATCGGCTCAAAACGAGCCGATTAACAACACTACTTGTAATGACTTTAATTTTGAAATTTCCTTAGAATAAAAAGTATATTAAAAAAGTTTAAACCTCTAACTGTGTATAAGTTAAAACCAATATTACATTCAACATATCTATAGGGTTCGGTAAAAATAAAATAACCTATGTCAACTCACCCTCTGATCCCTTCTAGCAAAAAAGAGGGTCCAAAACCTATGGTTCAAGAAATCTTTATTTTATAGTAAAAGTTATATATATATTTTTATTTATCTCCAAACAGGTGCCAATCAATCCAAATTACAGAGTATGGGCCCATTCCTCGACTTTTTGAATATAACAGGTGAAATAATATTGATATAATTTTCGATGGAGTCATGGCAAGGGCCAGTCCATTAACTGTCGGCATGGGTTAATGCCTTAGAAAAAAAAAATTATTTTTAAGTTTGACTGATTGAATGTCAATTATTTAATCTCGTTGTTTATTTTATCTTTTATATATAAATTAATTATTTTTTTTTAAATATATTGATTTTTTTCGAGTGTCTTTGGTCTAGTCGGTTGATGATCTATCCAATTTAATAGATCTGTGTTTGGAATCCATTAAAACCTCTATATTTTTTCTTGGACACTAACAAGATGGTTCTGTGCTACGGGCAAACATATAATAATACCTAGACTGACAATACATTCATTAAAGGTGTACATCAATGAAAAACAGCTAAAGACGCCGTTTTGGTTACCCATTCTTTTTAAAATAAACATATTTTTCAAACAACATCAATCTGGATAAATAAAATTAGGATAACATATAATTTGTTTAGTTTTACGAAAAAAAAAAATTTAAAAAAATATATAGTAGTTTTTAACATGAGAATAATTACTATATGGTTTGCCAAAATGGTAGGTCCATTGCATTCAACGACACTTTCATATGCATTATTATGAATGAATCTCTAGGTATTGGTAAAGGGTATGATATGTAGAATATCGGGAAACGATGTTGTGATGTTATTGCATTTTTAATGAGATTTGGTTCGTTGTTTAGCATACTTATAGTCGTTGCTTAGAAATGTTTTTCAAGAAGTGGTTCCTTTGTTTAGCCAATGATTTTATTGGATTCTAAGTAAAAATTTATGCCTAGATCAGGGCCTGATCTAAATAGACAGAGAATTTGATTTTACAGGTTTCTAATTTCCATGATCTTCATACCTCCGCGTCTAATAAATATATTCACTTTTAAACCTTTACTTTTGATAAAAATTTATGTATCTAAAAAACATATTAATACATTAAGGTATATCAACTTTTTAGAAAAAATACAAACGTAGTATACACGTATAAATTTATTTAGTACTTTTTGTTAGAAATCGATTTCCGTTCCTGTTAATAGAAGTAGTTTTTAAAAAAAAAGGAATTTCTGGCTTCAGTTTAGCTGCCTACTTGTTACTAAAGGAGGCTCTGCTTTTAGATTTTATCCTGTTCAATTGTTTCCGTATTCTCGTTCCAATTTATCTAATCAAATCTCAAAACAGCTTACCAATTAATATACGGAATATATTTTAGAAAATATAATTTACCATAAAATAAAGAAGATATAAAATGAACCCTTTGTCAAAATATTTACAGGTTTCAATTTTGTAATAACAATTTTAAGATGCCTGGAGCGTTCATATTGATTTATACCTTAATGATTAAAGGGTTGATATCAATTTTTCGAGTTTAAAAACCTATGTATATGTAGTTTTTTTTAAAAAAAAAATCTCCCCTTTTAGTAGGGTTGTTAAACGGGTCGATTTGAGCCGATTTTTAAATACGGCTAAACTCAATATTTTAGCCAGAAAAATATTTCGCAAAACTGAAGATTTTGGTCATAGATAGCACAAATGTTTTTACATCTATTAGAAAAGCCTCGAGGCTTAGGCAATATTACACCACCTTTTTTAGTAAATAATATAAATCGGATAAGTTTAATATTATATTTCTATCCAGGAATGCCTGACCCCGAACAAATTAACGAAGAAAATGAATCTCCTGACACCTCGATATCCGCAAAGAATCAACGAAAACAATCCGATTTGATGGAATCATCTTCGGTATTCGAAAAATACGTACACGCCCATGGTATAAACATCATGAACAAGAATGACTGGGATCGGATCAGGTTAGGTCAAAATTCGACGAAGAACTCGACACCTTCTTCCAATCCTCCCCGAAATGTCGATAGCGTGCATTCGTCCGAGTTGGAATGGGAAAATGAATCTCTCTCCCTGATCCAATGATTATATTTATAAGTCAATCATATATATATATTTATTTATAAATCATTCGTTAAAAAACATTTTGGTTATAGCTTATTTGCCAATACAACTGCATAACGTTATTATCAGAATATTGTGTATTAGATATATATTATATAAATCAACACTCACTCACGATTTATTTTTTTTTGTACAAACCATGGTAATTCGGCTGTAGACCTGTAGACACCATTTTATCAAAGTGCAGACTAAATGACTGACATATGTCGTTTAATAAAATATTTTCTATAAATCTAATAAAAAAAAAAGGTAAAATAAGGAATATATACAAATTTTTTCTTTTATAACAAAAGAAAACATAAAAGTCAAAATAAGTTAAGGAGCACAAGGCAAGGCAAAAAAAATATGGCATCTACAGTTGACTAACATGTACATATATATCATTTATTAAATGTATTTTGATGAATGAATTCGTCAATCTTACACGATTATAATAATGTCACTGGTTAATAATGATTCTACAACTTGGACAAATAATATAATCATCCCATTTTAAAAAAAAAAATACAGCCGAAAGGGTTAGAAAAAAGAAAACTTTTTTTTTTAGAAGTTTAAAAATATGTGTCGTATGGGGATTCGGAATCTCTCCATTTTAAATCATTTACCGAGGGCGATTTAAAAAATTATAATTTAACATGAAATGTATTTTAGACATGTATAGAGTATTTGCCTATAAATTTCAGTCAATTTCATCCATAGACATTTTTGGTATTTTTTTTTAATTTATATGAAAAATCCATATAAAAATTAATATAAATTAGAGCGTGGTTCTTAAAGTTTATCGCAAAAATTGTTTGTAAATTTACAGTTTGGGTACTCTACACATGCTAGAATACATTTCTACCGAATCCCCATACGACAAAATATATAATCAAAAAAAATTACAATCTATTTTATTATTACAGTATTGTTAAATTAAACTTACTTTTGCTACTCTACAATTAAATTTATTAATTATTTATAAATTCCAATTATTTTTTTATATCAATAAAAGAATAATTTTTATTATAGATTTTTATAATTAAATTTTTGAAGTTTTACCGAATTTTAACTTAATGCACTCGTAATTTTACACAAAAAAAAATAGATACATTTTGGAAAATTTTATTTATATTAATCAATTAAAGTGTCGATATTAATATTTGTAACATTTTGCGAGTTTTTGAAAGGATTGAGAGATTAGAACCGTTGTCAAATAAAGAAAGGTAGAACTAAAATGATTTTATTAAATAATAAGTTAAAATTATAATCAAACTAAATTAATTTAAAAAAATTAAAATAATAACAAATTAAAATAATAAAAATTAAGTTCGTAACATCATAATCTTTTTCTATACAAATATCCTCGAATATATATACTTTTCTATAATATTCATTTACATAATGTTTTACAAACAAACTGAAAAAATCTTGAACTTTCTTTAATTTGAATAATCATTCTTTTTTATTCATCTTTCTTTAAATCATTTGCATTCGAAATTTAATTCTTTTTTCTTGAGTAGATTTGAATATCCTTCGGCTTTGTAATTTGGTTTAACAATTACAACACCCTTCCACTTAGATTAGTCCCACCATTCTGCGAGTATAGGCATGGTTCCCGATACATTCTTCTAGCTCTTTTAATTATATCTCGTTTTACTCCCACATTATCCTAGTCTTTGCTTGTTTCTAACGGTTTCTAGTAACTAATGACGGTAAATCTCTGACGATAATTTGTCTGCGAGTAACGATGGTTTCCACGACTTCTTGTTCGATTTTTTATCCTATACTAAATTTTTGATAAGCAATTGGCTATAATTTGTCGATAGCATCCTGGTCTTCTTGTCAATATATCCACTTTGCCTTAAGTTCTCTTATACGATAATGATTTCTTGTATCTTTTGATCCAAAATAAAAATCCGATCTCTAATTGAGCTCGATTGCGGCATAAATTTTCTAATGACGAAAAGCCGTTTCTCTTTATGAAGATTTTTTGGTTAATCAACAACCTGATATTTTGCTAAATATTATCAACTTAAATAACAGTCAACCGTATATCTTTAATAAAAATTTATAACGAAATTCTTTTAGCTACATCGATCACTTGTACGTATAACGATCTCTTGTGACGCATTCTTTTTAGCTAAACGACTAATTCTCCGAAATACGACCATTAATATTGATACCATTGTTTTATTGCTCTCATTCTTTGTCTTAGTGTCGATAGTCATCTCATACATCCCCTTCCCCCTTTATTTAGAATCTCTTTTCAGAGTTAATTAGACTGACTTTTGATCTTCTAAAGCCTGGATCAATCGCTGCAAGACACCACTGAACCAATATGGTATTGCTATTTATATTGCTGAGGCTAGTGGGAGAGTTAATTAGACTGAATTGTTGAAATTGCCCTGTCGCCTCCACTCTCCAACATTATTGTAACATTTTGAAAAATTAGAATAAGAGTTGGAAGATTTTAATCGTTGTTAAATAAGAAAGGTTAGAATAAAATGATACTAAATCAGACTAATATCCTCGTTAGAACTAAAATGATACTAAATCAGACTAATATCCTCGATTATATATATTTTTCTATAATATTCGTCAAATCAGAAAAGTTAGAACTAAAATGATACTAACTCTTTATTAAATAATAAGTTAAAAATATAATCAAACTAAATTAATTAAAAAAAAATTAACATAATAAAAAATTAAAATTAAAAATTATAATTAAGTTGGTAAAATCATGATCTCTCCTTATACAAATATCCTCGAATACTTTTCTATAATTCATTTACATAATGTTTTACAAACAAACTCAAAAAATCTTGAACTTTCTTTAATTTGAATAATCATTCTTTTTTATTCATCTTTCTTTAAATCATTTGCATTCGAAATTTAATTCTTTTTTCAGTAGATTTGAATATCCTTCGGCTTTGTAATTTGGTTTAACAATTACAACACCCTTCCACTTAGATTAGTCCCACCATTCTGCGAGTATAGGCATGGTTCCCGATACATTCTTCTAGCTCTTTTAATTATATCTCGTTTTACTCCCACATTAACCTAGTCTTTGCTTGTTTCTAACGGTTTCTAGTAACTAATGACGGTAAATCTCTGACGATAATTTGTCTGCGAGTAACGATGGTTTCCACGACTTCTTGTTCGATTCTTTATCCTATACTAAATTTTTGATAAGCAATTGGCTATAATTTGTTTATGATTAACGATAGCATCCTGGTCTTCTTGTCAACATATCCCCTTATGATTTCTTGTATCTTTTGATCCAAAATAAAAATCCGATCTCTAATTGAGCTCGATTGCGGCATAAATTTTCTAATGACGAAAAGCCGTTTCTCTTTATGAAGATTTTTTGGTTAATCAACAACCTGATATTTTGCTAAATATTATCAACTTAAATAGAGATCGGATTTTTATTTTGGATCAAAAGATACAAGAAATCATTATCGTATAAGAGATCTTAAGGCAAAGGGGATATATTGACAAGAAGACCAGGATGCTATCGTTAATCATAGACAAATTATAGCCAATTGCTTATCAAAAATTTAGTATAGGATAAAGAATCGAACAAGAAGTCGTGGAAACCATCGTTACTCGCAGACAAATTATCGTCAGAGATTTACCGTCATTAGTTACTAGAAACCGTTAGAAACAAGCAAAGACTAGGATAATGTGGGAGTAAAACGAGATATAATTAAAAGAGCTAGAAGAATGTATCGGGAACCATGCCTATACTCGCAGAATGGTGGGACTAATCTAAGTGGAAGGGTGTTGTAATTGTTAAACCAAATTACAAAGCCGAAGGATATTCAAATCTACTCAAGAAAAAAGAATTAAATTTCGAATGCAAATGATTTAAAGAAAGATGAATAAAAAAGAATGATTATTCAAATTAAAGAAAGTTCAAGATTTTTTTCAGTTTGTTTGTAAAACATTATGTAAATGAATTATAGAAAAGTATATATATATTCGAGGATATTTGTATAAGGAGAGATCATGATTTTACCAACTTAATTATAATTTTTAATTTTAATTTTTTATTATGTTAATTTTTTTTAAATTAATTTAGTTTGATTATATTTTTATCATATTATTTAAGAAAGATTTAGTATCATTTTAGTTCTAACGTTTATTATTGGACGAATATTATAGAAAAGTATATATAATCGAGGATATTAGTCTGATTTAGTATCATTTTAGTTCTAACGAGGATATTAGTCTGATTTAGTATCATGTTATTTTAACCTTTCTTTATTTGACAACGGTTCTAATCTCTCAATCCTTTCAAAACTTTCAAAATGTTACAATAAAGTTGCTATTACAAAAATATTATCCTTATATAATATTCACTTAGATTTTATTTATTAGAATTCTCCAACTTATGATGATTATATTACAACTTTGCTGCCATTATCCATCCAAATTTTTAGGGCTGAACTTGGCCTATACATTAATTCTTCCAATTCCAAAATAACATCTAATTTTGTAAGATTAAGTATTCCGATTTCCCAAGAAAAACTATTAAAATTGGTTATAATCTTTGATATGAATCATGTATACCGATATAGTAGAAAATCTACTTGATGCTATTTTTTTTATGCATCAAAAATTGTATATACCACTTTTCCATATTTTGTAAATATATTTATTTAATTAAACTCCCCGTCTACTCTCTTAGTGTTATAGCATTGAGCAGTCATCTAACCAAACTAAACTTGTGTTTAGTTATCGCTGCTTAAGAAAACAAGTGTTGTTAAATGGCTAACTCAATATTTAATCCAGAAAAATATTATGCAAGCCTAGAGATTATAGATGGCACATAGTATTTGATCATCTATTGACGAAATCTCGACGCTTAGGACAATATTTTCCTCGCTATAATGTTGAGTTAACCCTTTTAATAACACTATTAAGAACTAAGATGAAAATATAGAAATGATTTTGTTATTAAAATGTAATAATTAATAAATTAAATTATAGGTTTTTAATTTCTCTTCTCTTCTTTTCTTTCTTATTTATTTTATCGAATGTTTTTACAATTATATTTCTTCCCCTACCCCCTTAAATATTTTACGCATTTTGTTTTTATATAGCGCGTTACTTATCTCTTGAAAAAAAATATATGCGCGATACTTTTGAAAGTAACGCTTGATAACACTTTATATCATTAAGAGTCGAGCTAGCGTGTTAAAATTTTTTATAAAGGGGTTTCTTTACCTTTCTTTTCCCTCTTTAGTAATTGGGATAAGAGTCGACTTCTATATTTTCTTAGATGCCCCAACAATAAACGTAATTCAATCTGCCGAAGAAGAAGTTTAAATATTTGTATACACATATTTTTTTACTAGTTAAAGTTCGCATTTAACAATGAACTTAATTATTTATGTAAAATTTCAGATTCAGCATTTCCCAATAGTAGTGTTGTTAAACGGCTCGTTTTGAGCCGATTTTTAAAAACGGCTAACTTAATATTTTAGCCAGAAAATAATTGCCTAAGCCTTGAGATTTCGTTAATATATATATGGACCTTTGTTTTTTCTATGAGCAAAATTTTCAGGCTTGCGTAATATTTTTCTAAGTGAAGTATTGAGTTAGCCATGTTTAAAAATCGGCTCAAAACGAGCCGTTTAACAACACTACCCAATAGGACCCAGCAATTTTACGAGAAAATTTTAAAAAGCGCTAATTTTATTTTATTTTTTAGTCATCAGGATCCGAGCAAAGATGTAATAATTTAAAATAACCATATATTTTTTCATATTGTCAGAATTTTTCTTTAAAAAAAAAAAATTAAAACATAAAAAAGGAAGAAAAAAAGGTTCATTTACAAAAAGGAAAAATTATTCCTCTTTTTAAATTTAATTTTTTTAAATTTTTATGAATAAATTAAATTATTTTAAAGCATGTATATATTAAATTATATTACTACTTATAAAAAGAAAAAAATGTTGAATAAATTTATTTAAGTATTATAAAATAAAAACGTGGCAAATATTTTTAAAAAGTAATGGAAATATATACAATAAGCTACCATAGTGTAATAAATATTGAAAGAGAAAGAGTAAAAAAAATTAATGATTCACAAGTTCACAATTTATGATAGATGGGGAATTATGTAGTAGTAATACGAATATCTTCGATTGGATGGAAATATTAGGAATTCTTTTTTAAAAGCAATAAAAATTTCAATTCTATTAGATTTTGCATTCCGAAACAAATTGAAAATCAATTAACTCAAATTGTAAACTGAGGATAGAGATAGATTATATAAAATAGCATTTAACTTTGTACTTCATGGTGCAAAATATAATTTTATAACATGCTCTAGTCCAAAATTACTATCTTCGAAAGACCGGTTAAATGAAAGCTATGTTAAACACAACACTATCATTTTTTTAATGTGAAAACCCTTATTTTCTTTTCCTTTTTATTATATAATTATTATTACTACCTTTTCAACATTCACAAGGTAACATGACTAAAATAAAGGATGATAAGAAATGAATGATTTTTTATATAGGTTTTGATATGTTTAAATTTGTTATAAGAGTAAATAGTTGGTAATGACTAACAACCGGCTTATCCCGCTAACTAATCTATAGACGCCGCATGTGCCAAAGAAAAATCTGTTTAAGCATTGAAGAGTGAGATTATTTATTTCTGCTTTCTTAAATTTTGTAGAAAAACCTAGGCTTGTGGATGATGATAGCTTTAGGCCAAAAACTAGTTTTTTTTTAAATAATCAACTTAAAATGGAGCAATTACCCCCAACTAAAAAGTATAAGGGTAATGCATATATATAAAGTTCCTCTTTGGGAACTTACTTTAAAATTAAAGGTGATTGTCACTTCATTTATATATTTTGTTTATATATTATATATAAATATTATTTTTTTTCGAAGAATTTAATGTTTAAAACAATTTTTTTTTTAAAAAAAAAGCTTTAGAGGGTAATTTTTTAAAATAAAATTTAAAATAAAATAATAATAAAAATTTGTAATTAGTATTTTTTTAAATTTTGTAAATTTAATTCACGGGGGGGGGGGGGGGGGGGGGGGGGGGGGTGAGAGATTTTTAATTCAAAACAAGACAAAAAATTTATAAAAATATTTTTTAAAAAATTTTTTTTCTATAAAGTATAAATAAAAGAGAAAATAAAAGGGTAATGAATTAATAAGTTTAATAAACTTTTTGCCATTAAATATTTTTTTAAGTATAATATTTCTAATTTTTTTTAAAATTTTTTAAATTTTTAATTAATTCAATTCATTATTTTTTAAGTTGGCGACAATGGACACCTTTGTGTTGAAAAAAAATTTTTTTTAAAATGCAAAATAAAAATAAGTTGAATGAATTCTCTTTAAAACAAAATTTTCGATATTAAATTTTAATGATTTTAAAAATAAATACATTAAATATTTTATGATTTTCCCATTATAATATGGGCCATTAAATATTTTTATTTGTTTCCTTCATTTTTTGTTTATTGGACAAGTATCCTTAGCACCCGGCTATCCAAGCCTGTCGGTGACCGGGGTGTCATCTCTAAGCTCCGAAATTCAGCTTACCGATCATCGAAGAAAACCCTGAAAATTTTTACGTTCCTTACCAGGATTGAACTTGGGACCTTCTGTTTCCAAGGATGCATCATAACTAACCCACTGGTCCAAGTGGAGAGAGATATTGAAGTAGATTACCACCAGAAAAGGTGAAAGCTAAAGAGAAAAAAAAGGGCCATAAAATTATATATAAAATCCAAGGAAAGGGTTTAAGCTACAAATCCAGTCGTCTTAGTAAACCGCTTTTAATTTTTTTAAAATAATTATTAATTATAACTATATTGAATCATTATGAATATTATGAATATTTTAAACAATTTTTTTTTGTTTTCTCGTATTTTCTATTTTCCTTTTTGGAACCTTTAAACAACAAGCCAAAATCACTTCAAAATTGTCAAAATTTTAATTTGATTTTATATGAAGATGTATAATAAATTGTAATATTAAAATAAATGACTATATTTCAAGTGTAATAAACCTAAAGCAAAATTATTAATTAACTACAACCGAATGCTATATTGGTTAATTGTGTAATTCAAATTTTTCAAACCATAAATTGGTATATTATTAATATATATATATACATTCATACACCTATAATATTGTTCATTTAAGTGTGATTATTGGTTTGAATACATAAGAAGTTTTGCAAGTGGTCTCATATGACTAAATGCCAGGAAATGTTAATCAACTAACCGATATTTTTAAAAGGTTAAGTTAGGAATGAATAAATTATTTTTAAATATAATTTGTGACAAACTATTTAAATGATTATGATTTAAATGTGTTACATTTGTATAAAAAAAAGAAAAAGAAAAATATAAAAAGAAATAAATGGAATACATAATTGAATATTTTATTAAAAAATTATAATTTTTTTGCTAATGCCATTTTTATTTTACAATATTCTGCCCGGCATTAGATGCTAATGTTAAAACCTGATATATGGTTTTAATTCAGTTAGGTCTTCCGATCATAAAAATATGTCCGTTTAACTAATTTCTCCCGAAAAAATATTTCAAATTTGCTAGCTTGCTTCTTTTAAAAAAAATATTTTCAACACTCCCCTATCTTCTTTAAAAATAATAAATTTAAATTAGCTTTTGCATATTTCTATTCTGAATAGCTGTCTGTATATAATAGAATGGGATTTTTATATTAAAATAAGAAATTATATATAAAAAAAAGCCAACCAAGGTTGGCCTACTCTTCTTAGCTGCATTTCTGGATAAGATTCTCAATTCAGGATTAAGAACAAAAATCAGGAGGAAAACTAATAAGTCAGCCTCATAAAATTTATATTTTAGGTGTATAGTGATTGTTAGTTTTAAATAGTGTTTGTCAAACAGCTCGTTTTGAGCCGATTTTTAAAAACGGCTAACTCAATATTTCATCTAGATTAATATTACGCAAGCCTGTAGATTTTGTTTGTAGAAGGAACAAAGGTTTGGACATCTTTTAGCGAAATCTCGAGCCTTAGGCAACATTATTCTGGATAAAATATCAAGTTTAACAACACTAGTTTTAAATGAAACAGAGCAAATACAATATTAATTAATAAATAAGGTTATTACGATATAGGTTACATTCGAAGTTTGTTTTTAGTTCAATCTAGAAACTAGACTAAATAATTATAAAAAAAACTTTTCCCTGTTAATTTTCTTCACTTTCTTACTCTTCAATTATCTAAATTAACATCTTGATTGATTAAATGTTAATTAGATTAACCATGTTGACTGCACAAAATTCAATTGTAATTAATTATAAACAATTATATCATGAAATAAGGTATAGATAGTCTCTTTATAATTAAAAAAATAAAATGCTTATTTATTGACTATCACTTAAGCAACCCTATCCCAGTTATGGAGAAAATTTAAAACATTATTACTTTTATTAGAAATCATGACCTATATTTTTTTTAATAATAATAATTAGAAAATAGAGTGATCATAAAAGATGGGGATTAGGGACAAGGATGCACAGCAATATTTCTGTTGTGACGATGGTCATTTTTAACAGCTTTAGTTCCACTCTTGGGTTCTTCATCTTCCATTATATCATCAATCTCTAATTCATACTTTACATTTACACGTCAACAAAAAAATTTTTTAAAAAAATATATATTTAATGAGTATATACTATATAACATATTATAGATAATATAGAAATCTATTTCCCTATTTTTCATATCTTTTAAATTTATAGTAAAATATTAGATGTATACTATATTAGTTCAGTTTTACCCAATGTCAATTCTTGACTCAAAATAAAATTTAAGCGAAGTTATAACGAAGTTGCATTGGAATTTTTTTTAATATCAGAGACCTGATATATTTTTAATTTTTGTAGGTAATTATGGCGATTTAAAATCTCGGCCTGGCCCAGACAACTTGGTTCGGACTCTATATTCAAAAAAATTGACATACTGCCCGGTCCGTGTACTCGGGCATGAACCGGGCCTGCGGATTTCTGTTTTTTTTTAAAATATCCCATACTAAATTTTATTTACTTCTAAATTGTCCATCAGTTTACGGATCATGGATTTATCAATAACGCTCCAACTATCTGTTACAGGGCAGTAAGTTTTCTATTTGTGACGACAATATTTATGTTTACATGGTCAAAACAAAAATAAATTATAAATATTTTAAGATAAAAAAAAAAGGACATATATATATATATCGTTATAAGTAAAGAGAATGTACGAGTTATAATTATTTTTCTTTTTTTCTTTCTTTCTTTCCTTCTTTCTTTCTTTCTCAGCTAAGTGCAGGGTTAAAATCTTCAAAGTGGATTTTATAAATTTATATCTTAATATGTGGGAGGAGGGGGGCGTAATCAAACGGTTTTTAATATTTTGCCTCTGAACCATAACCGAACCGGGTTTGTTTTTCCCCCTGAAAAAAAAACGATCTTGCGTCACTACAATTTGGTAATAATTATGCAATTTATTATAGATAATATAAATTTATCGTTTAAAAAAATGTATATAAAGGACATAAAACACACAAAAAAAAACTATTTTTAAATTTCTATTGGATGAGAGGGGGGGGGGGGGGTTGTTACCTAACTCCTCTTGGTAGTAGGGTAAATTTTCTTGCGTTTAATTATTGTACACACGTATATAATCAGCTATAAAATAATAGGCTTAGCTAACTCATATCCTCACATTTTCTTTAAATCATAAATAAAAATATGAAAGAAAAACTAATAGGCCACCGTTTTTTCCTTGATTTGTTGCAAGAGCTCCTGGTCGAGTGATTTCTTTTTGGGTAAATAAGGTTTGGTACGGGCCTTGGGTATTGGTCTAGATAGCAGCTGTTCTTCGTCTTTCTGACTTATAGAGTACCTATAAATTATAAACGCGATTAACTATACTTCTTTAATCCTTCCTTCCTACCTGATATCATATCCATAATTCCACTTATTTTATTAAGGTATATGCAAAATAAAAAAAAATAACCTCATAATACTGTCGGCGCACACGTTGTAACTCATACTCTCTCTCCTGACACCTTTTCCAGATTTTTCCGTGTTCGAAACGGCATGGGCTCGCGGAGAAGAGCGCGTAATTTCCTTGCCATTATCGTCAGAATTGCCGTCCCTGTGTCTAGACACGGATTCCTTGGGGTAATCCAAATCCAGATTGTAAATTTTTTTGAGCGTACTCTTGTCCATCAATCTTTTCAGGTCCTCCTCCCTTTCCGTATTCGATTCGTCGTTTTCGAAGTCTTCTTCTTCCCTAGATTCCTGGTCTTCGCTTTCATATTCCGACGCTTTGGCTGCTACGTATTTCTTGGCGCCCTTGGGAGTAGAAGTACTCTTAATACGCTTGCCTTCTTTCCTTCCCTGGACATTCGTATCTTTCTCGACGCGCTGATGGCGATTAACATTCGTCCCCTGCTTCTCTCTGAGTATCAAACTGACAGGAGCCGGGGGTGATTTATCTCGCTGCCTTTCATTTCGTATAAAGGCCGAATTCGGATCAAATCCCTCTGGCAGCTTCGTTATGCTATCCGTACGAGAATGGTACAAAATTCTCTGGTAAGCTTTGGGGTTGCTTTGATTGATTTTCTTAGTTATAGGTTGCTCTATGTGATTCCTACCAGAGCCATGTTCATCGGCAGGCGATGCTTTCTTGGGAGAATTTTTACGAGCCGGGGAAGATCTCATATGGTATATATATATATAAATCTTTGAATCAATCAGATATTATCAAAAAACGTGTGTTTAAAATTATTTCTAGTATAGCATGTGACGAGCGCGATTTTAAAAGAAACACGTCACTAGATACGTCATATTTTGTAACTTTTTTTTAATTCCACAAAACAAAATTTTTTTTTAATAAATTGTAGTTTCAGTCGATTAAAGCGTGTCAAAAGAAAATCCGCTAAGAATAGCGGATTGAGTTTTTTTTTTTAAATATTTATTTCTCTTTTCAAAGTTGAGCTATATTTTAAAAAAAATACATCCGCAGTTAAAGGAATAGTTCTCAGTTAAAAACTACCGGTTTTCTTAGCCAGCTAAAAAAAAATATAGAGCATCTAACCCAACTATACCTTTAACGAAATAATGATTTCTGGACGTAAACCCCGACAAACATCATAAAATGGGGAAATACTCTGAACAAAAAAAAAATTGTTCAGGTCATACCGACCCCGAACAAGGTGCCCCACTAACAAAATTTTCTAAAATTAGAAATTATTATAATTATTTATATAAGATTTGGGTTCAGCTTAGTTATTTTTTTTTATCCCCTCCGAATATGTATTTTATAATACAATGGGTTAAAGAAAAAAAAAAGACATGTGAGAACCTTGAATTTTAATATTAAATGGGCTGTTCCTATATTATTAATACCAAACCTAGTTAATATATTACCTAATTTTTATAATCATTTTCTTTTTGGGAAAAAAAGAATGAAGGAAGATTATAGGATATTCCCATGTGAAGTAAACTGCCGTTGAACTTGAAGTTATATTGTTAGTATTTGTTTTCGGCTAAAAACTTGACTTTGCATATTTTTTGGCTAGAAATTCGTTTCAAACGGCTAAAAATATAGTAATCACATAACTATAATTCTAAGTTTTATAAGTTAGAATTAAAATTTAAATAACCTTTATTTGCCAAATAAAATATACATTGTTATTACTTATTTTATTCGTAATGAGAAAAAAATGGAAGAGTTTCATAAAAAAATAAATGAAATAATATAGATGACGCATAAAATTAGAATCACATCAAATAGGTAGAGTACAGTATAATATGTTAAGTAAATTTTATTATATTACACCAGTATTAGAAAACGTACTTTCCATCGGAACTGAACAACAGGGTATTACGTGGTTATATTTGATGAATAAAGGTGGGTACCAGAAAACCAGTATTAAAAACATGACGGACCTAGCTGTCGGTCCAAAGGTCCTAAAAAAAATAGCTAGCTTAAACAAACCGATTTTTAAAACTCTAATACAAAAGTAGTGCTCTTCCTATAAGAGACCGAATTCGTGGTTAGCGGCCCGACTCGAGGATTTTGTCACAGTTGGTAGAATTTGGGATTGGGAGATTAAAAGCAATGTCAAATAAAGAAAAGTTAAATAGACTGAATATGTCCATAGAACATAATGTTTCGGTAACAAATGTGGTAGTTGAGAATTAAAGGGAATACAAATAAATAGTATAAATGAATTAGCTACTAATACTTTATTTTAATTAATATAAATTGTAATTACATAATCATAACTAAAATTAAAAAAAATTAAATTTAAAAATTAAGTTCGCAACATAATAATAATTATTTTACAAATAAAATATTACCGATTATATATACTTTTCTTATTACCATTCATTTACATAGTGTTTAAAGTTTAAACAACAAACTTAAATAATCTTGAACTTTATCTAATCTGAATAATTACATCTTTTTTCTTCATTTGAATATTACAACAGATTTATAGTTACAAAAACCGGGTCTCATTTACTTCAAGTTGAGTTAAACTTTTTATGGACTAAATTTTTAAGTGAGCGAAGCCTTTTGTTTCGCCAAGACGACCTGCCTTAGCAAATATTAACTGCGAAAAAATTATTCGCACTCTATACACGTATTTTGAAATAAATGATTAGAATTATGGTTTTTCTTTATTCTATTCGTAATAATATAATTTCTTGATAAATATATTATAATTATATATTGTTCGGGTTATTATTTTTTATTACAGGTTAAAAAAAATAAAATAGAGATGGATATATTATATAATATAAATTATTTCTGGAATAATAATTTTTGTATCACAAGATTATAATATAATGCCAGGAACAAAAGGACGTCTATCTTTTAGTTCTCCAAACTTGAAATCTGAATGTGCTATCGGCAAAATTCCATCAGAATCTTTTGTAATTTTTCTTTATCATTTAGTCCATTTGCTACGATGATAATAAAAAATAAATAAAATAATGATTTATAAATATTATAAAAATTTTGTTAGATTTTTATATTAAGAGGATATTAAAAAATATCTAATTTTATAATATATAAATCAAATGGTGAATTACTTGGAAATTTTGAGGATAATTTTTGAAGGACTTGCTTTTCTAGTTCTTTGATATGTCTAGTGGCTTCGTTTAATATTTTTATCTAAAAAATAAAATTAATTAAATAACATTTATATTTTCATAGTTATTATTCTATCAAACTTTGCTTAAAATTAAAGTTTACATTCATTTAAGACTATGTCTAAAGCTTATGGGATAAAAATGTCCAACAGAAAAACGTTATGACAGTTACTTTTTCAATACATTATAGCGTAAAAGCTCTGAACGTTAAGTAATACTCTATAAATCTACTCTAATTATATTAAAAAAAATAATAGCATTATTAATTTATTCAACTATAACATACTTGATCTATTTGACAGGAAGGTTTGTGAGCTATGCTAGGAATGACGTTCTTAAGTTTAATGAATTCTCTTCGACGCAAGAGCCTCTTCATTCTTTTCCTCCTTCTCTCTGATATCTGTTTTCGCGCGGGTGATTTTAGCTGCATTCTCTCCCAAGGGGATGGCACGCTTTGAATAGAAGAAATTTGACGAGTTTTAACGGGGTAGGAGTATAGATCAGCTGAGGAAATAGTAGTGTTAAGAGGCGCTGCGAGTCTATCACTTGATATAGAATCAGAAGCGTACACTGGGATAAAAAGCGATTGTTTCAAGTTATTGTTTTTGTTAGATTTTGGAATGTTTCTATAAGTGAGTGGTTTGACTATGATCATGGATTTCCAAACTTGGTGTAGTTTGGACCTGGGGCAATAATGGCTTCTATCGTTGGGCGTCGTGGTGGAATAATTCGTAAAGTAACCACTGTATAGATTCATCATAGCTTGGTGGGTAGAAACGGTATTTGAAGAGGAATAATCGGAATAGGACATATTTGAAAAACTACTCATTTTATTTTTTGAATATTTTAATATAATTTCATTTAAGGAAGAAAGAAGGAAAAAGATAAAAATTGTTGAATTTTTTTTAATAAAATAATTTTTATATAAATTTGTATTAAGAAAAATAGATGTATTTATATAAAATTTTAATATATTCTTATATTAAACTTTGCGCAAAATTATTATTTTTTATATTATATTATTATTGATTTATTTCGAATGTGAATTTAATATTATTTTTCTTTTCTTTATTTTACACCTTGCTTATTATATATACATTATATAGTCAAACAAGTGAATAAATAATAATAAAAAAAAAAAATTCGATGGGAAAATAAAAAAAAAAAATAAAATTGTGACAATTTTAATATTGTATTGTTTCGTGTGACGAAACATAAATGGCATATGGCAATTGGTTTGGTATAATAATAGCAAAATATTTTAATTTGTATATATAATTCATAATAATACCTTTTGTTTTAAAGCCTGCTGGCTTTTGGTAAACATAATGGAATCGATTAGGGAATTCAAAATAATACCTTTACTTTAAACTCTATTGTTTATGAAAGTAAGAGATCTGAAATCGCGGTCGAGCTATAATCCGGCTTTTCGGGCCGGGCCGGTTCAAGCTTTAATTTTTTAAATTATGATATCATTTTACTGGTAGGTACAAAAATCCGGTAGGGCTTCATAAATTTAGGCCCGACTGAGATCACCATAATGAAAAGATGGCGTGGCTCACTGCCGAGCCAGTTAAGATTTTTAAAAAGATTCGAATTTTCCGGATGTGGTAAACCCCGACTTGGCCCGCAGTTATATCTTCGCGTTTAGGCAGGAATTATTTCAGATTCCAGTGCGAATTCGTTAGAAGGTTAAATTCACTCTTCTTAAACCCAATCCGGTTATATTTTAACCCCGGTCCGCGAACTCCGACACGGGTTCGAAAAAAATTAATTTTGTAATCGAGGGTATAGCTTAAACGGGGACCTGAATCCTATCTCTTCCCTGTAAGAGTATACTATAAATCTGGTAAGTGAGACTAGTGTTGTTAAACTAGCTTGTAACCGGTTTGGTTTTTAGAAACGGCCAACTCCATATTCTATCCAGACAAATATTATACGCAAAGGTTTGAACATCTATTAACTAAATCTCTAAAAAGTTGCGCCATATTTTTTCTAGCTAAAATATCACTAAACTAGTAAAGTTAAACGCAAAAATTTATTAATATATCGATTTTATTTTGTAATAAAAGTCAAAATATTTATACATATTTTTTACCAAAAAAAAAAGTTTAAAAAAAATTTATACATTGAAGAAGAAAGAACTAAGTATTATTTTCCCACGTTTTCTCAAAAAAAATTAAAATATTAATATTTATAATAGATTAATAAATAATATATATGTGTCATCTTCGGGTAAAATATTATATTAAAATGGACAGGTGTATAAATGGTAAAAAATGAAAAGAATATTAATAAAAAATAAATAAATAAATTTATAAACATTTACACAAAAATATTTTTTTAATATACTTATTAATTGGTGGAATATATTTGGAAAAATTTTTTTTATATTTTTTTGGAGGTATTTTAAAATTTCTAATAAAAATTATTCGTGAGAAATTATTCCTTTCAAAAAAACAAGGTTTTTTATCTTCCTTTCTTTTCTAAGAAATATTTAAACATTTAAAACATAATAAAAAACAATACGATTGATTCCTCTAGGTAAATAAAATAAAAAATAATGAGTAATTTTTTGTAAAATTTCTTTTTTTTCGAGAGCCTTCATTTTTATATCGTCTCTCCTCTTTAATTTTATCTTTAAAAAAATAAAATTCTTATATTATTTTTTTTAGTCTGTCCTATATGTCAAAAAAAAAATGTATGAATAAAAATGATAATTCGAAAATAAAATTATAATCATATGGTTTTCGCTTGTATATAACTTGTGTTACTGTTAGACTCCTTTCTCCAGAAAACTTTAAACGTTGGGGGGCGCCTTGATTAAAATGAGCACTCCACAAAGTTACAATTTTTAAAAAATAGTAGTTTTAATTGTACCTCAAGTAAAAAAAAATGGGCCATGTATCTGTATTTAGATACTTTTCAAGCTATGTATCTGTATTTAGATACTTTTCAGGCCATATATCTGTGTTTAGATACTTTTCGGGGCATGTATCTGTTTTAGATACTTTTTAGGATATATATCTGTATTTAAATATTTTTCAAGTCATGCAACTGTATTTAGATACTAGGACATGCATCTATATTTAGATAATTGTTAAGCCATGTATCTGTATTTTGATACTTTTCAGGTCACGTGTCTATATCTAAATATATATTTTGAAAAGTACAGATTCTGGTTATGTAGTGTTTGTTAAATGGCTCATTTTGAGCCGATTTTAAAAAATTGGCTGACTCAATATTTTATTAAGAAAAAATATATTGCAAGCCTTAAGATTTCCTTCATAGGTGGCACAAAGATTTGAACATCTATCAACAAAATCTCGAGGCCTATATAATATTTTTCTAGTTAAAAATATTGTGTTAGCCGTTTATTAAAAATCGGCTTAAATCGAGGGTATGTTACCCTCACTAGATTCTCCAGGATTCTGCTATGGGAGGAGGGAGGAGAGGAAGGGAAGGCACTATTAAGTAATTTTTTTTTTCTCCATAAATTTTGCTGAAGATCTTTTAAGTCCACTTATTGTAGACCCTTTTGGCTATATTAGATTTATTTATATCGGGTTTTCACTTTTTTTTTCTTTTTTTTTAAAATGCTTATTATTTCTAAATAAAAATGTTCAAAATTATAAGTCGTTATTTTTTAGAAAAGTTATTTATTATCAAATTCTTCCACATATAAAAAATATATTTATATACATTTGTGATGGATAAAGGTTGGGGGTGGGGGGGGGGGATTTTTTATGAGCTTAAAAAGCGTGCGAGATACCTAATAATTATGACAATTAGTGTTGTTAAATGACTCGATTTGAGCCTTTTTAAAGACGGTTAACTCAAACAAGATTACCTGTGAGCTAAATCTTGATGGCTTGCGTAATAATTTTCCTAATCAAATATTGAGTTAGCCCCTAGATTTAAAAATGGACTCAAAATGAGTCGTTTTATAACAACCAACTAACGACAATATTTGAATGCAAAAAATGGGCCGAATTTTTCGAAATCTTCCTCGCTCAACACATTTTCGTTAAGTTAGGAGGAAGTTTAGATTTCCCAAAACAAAAAAACTGATAAAACATAAATATTTCCAAAAAATTTTTGCACATTTATATAGGGGAAATAAATTCAAAAAAAATAGTTGTTTATACAAATTTTTTAAATTTACATTGAAGCCAAATGGAGAAAAAAAAATTAACAGGGTTTTCTATTTTGCATAGGAACTTAATACTCAAACTTTAAAAAATAAAATAAACCATTTACATATTTTATACAAATATAAATGGATCCAAAAAAACCGACACATCCATCTCATTACCTAAACCTATCTCATGAACATTTTTTATTACTGTACATATAGTATCCATGTATATTAAAGCACTATTTCGCAATAAAATTTAAGGCTAATTATAATGCGAAAAATTTATGTAGAATCTCTTAATGTAATAGTCATTTTATTTTTAAAGGTATATAATTATTTTTGTAATTGTACATTATTAAGATACTTCACTCAAATTTCGGCAGAAACACTTTGAAGTTTATAATTATGACATATTAAAATATATAGCTAATATCTCTAATTAACCAGGTTTAATTATCATATTAAAATTTTTTTTTTTTAAATTGTGTAAAAAGTTAAACTATAATTATTTTGATATACCCAACAATAATAGTCTTATCAATAATGTGATTATAAATATAATGATACACCTTTTTCTTTCTTTACATACAAATGACTTAAAAAAACTAATTATATATATCTATTATTATTAACAAAATTAAAATACCATAGATATACATAAATAATATAGTATAGATAGATAGGTAAATAGATTAAAAAATGTTTTTTTTTAAAAAAAAATACATTGTTATTAAATATATTACTAACAGACTTATTAACTTTTAATAACTTTACATATAATGTCGGCCTCGGCAACATACAGTCAATTAATACAAAAAACAATTTTATTTTAAAAATCTAAAAAGGCTTAAACACCAATTCACTTTTTATAATTATTTAAAATATTACAATAGTAAAAAAAAATTTTTTACAAAAATATTCTTTATCTGATAATTTATAAAATAATTATTAACTTCTTAACATCAATATTATTTGTAATTTATATAAATTCAAAAATTCATAATTCGTGAATAATAAAAAAACAATTCATCAATTTATAAAATTTTCATGAGAAAAAAATTTATAAAAATTAAATTTCATTAAAAATTACCTGCAAAATTATGAAAAATTGACAATTCACCTGTGGGAAAACATATGTCAATATTATTGTGAAAAGAAAATTTTTTAAACCATTTTACATGTTATTATTATATATTATATATTACAATATATATTATTTTAAATTGTCGTAATTACCTTATATTTATAATTATATTTATTATTTACTTACTTTAAAATAGGGAGGGATAGGGATAAGAAAAGAAAAGAAAAAATTGTTAACATATTTAATTTTTTATGTATTATCATATTAGAAGAATGGGTTATAGTTTATAAGTTAGTTATTATTAAAAGGTCTCGTTAGTTTAAGATTTTTATTCGATTAGTATTGGTAAACGGCTAACTCGATTTAATAGGCCAAATATTATGCAAGCCTTATTCGCACATAAGTGGCACAAATGGTTGAACCATCTATTAACGAAATCTCGAGGCTTATATATTATTTTTCTGGCTAAAATATTGAGTTCAAAACGAGCTGTTTAACAACACTATTCGGGATAGAGATAATTAAATAAAAATTAAAATATATTTTTAGTAATAAATAAGGAACCAATTTGTAATAGTTTTTAAAAATGCATTCCGTCATCCTCTAAATATCACTGAAGATATAGCTTGTCATGCACATCAATATCTTTATAGAAT